GTGCGGCCTCACCAGTGCTGAATACAGGGGAACAATCACCTCTCTGCTCCTGCTTGCAACACTGTTTCTGATGCAAGCCAGGATGCCATTGGCCTTCTTGGCCACCTGGGCACACTGTCGGCTCATGTTGAGCCGAGCATCAATCAATACCCCCAGGTCCATTTCCTCTACGCAGTCCTCCAGCCACACTGCCCCAAGCCTGTAGCGTCGCCTGGGGTTGTTGTGGCCGAAATGCAGGACCCGGCATTTGGCCTTGTTGAAACTCATCCCATTGGCTTCAGCCCAGCTCTCCAGCCTGTCCAGATCCCTCTGTAGGGCCTCGCTACCCCCAGGCGGATCCACACTTCCAGCCAATTTGGTGTCATCTGCGAATTTACTGAGGGTGCACTCGATGCCCTCATCGAGGTCATCAATAAAGATATTGAAGAGGACAGGCTCCAGCGCTGAACCCTGGGGAACACCACTCACAACTGGTCGCCAGCTGGATTTGACTCCATTCACCACCACTCTCTGTGCCCGGCCCTCCAACCAGCTCCTTACCCAGCCAAGAGTGTATCCATCCAAGCCTCTGGCTGCCAGCTTCTGCAGGAGAATGCTGTGGGAGACAGTGTCAAAGGCTTTGCTGAAGTCTAGGTAGACCACATCAACAGCCTTTCCCTCATCCACCAGATGGGTCACCAGATCATAGAAGGAGATCAGGTTGGTCAAACAGGACCTGCCCTTCATGAACCCATGCTGGCTAGGCCTGATCCCCCGGTCACCCTGCACATGCCGCATGATCTCCCTCAAGACAATCTGCTCCATAACCTTCTCTGGCACCGAGGTCAGGCTAACAGGCCTGCAGTTCCCCAGATCCTCCTTACGACCTTTCTTGAAAATGGGATTCACATTGGCAAGCCTCCAGTCTTCTGGGACCTCACCAGTCAACAAGGAGCGCTGACAGATGATGGAAAGCAGCTCAGCTCTCACCTCCACCAGTTCCCTCAGCACTCTCGGGTGGATCTCATCTGGCCCCATCGACTTGTGGCAGTCCAGCTGCAGCAGTAGGTCTCTGACTGTTTCCTCCAGAATCACGGGGGGGTTAGTGTGCTCCCCAGCCGAGATTACCAGGTCAGAGAGAGGAGTATCCTGAGGATAACTGGTCTGACTTTTAAAGACAGACGTAAAGAAGGCATTCAGAACCTCTGCCTTTTCCTTATCCTCAGTGGTCACATTCCCAGCCTCATCCAGCAAAGAGTGGATATTCTCCTTTGTCCTCCTCTTACTGTTAATGTATTTATAAAAGAGTTTCTTATTCCTTTTCAACCCAGCGGCTAGGTTAAATTCAAGCTGGGCTTTTGCCTTTCTGATTTCACCTCTACACATCCTAACAACTTCCTTGTATTCATTTTGAGTGGCCTGTCCCTCTTTCCACAGGTGGTAGATTCTCTTTTTCTCCCGGAGCCTCAGGAATAGCTCCCTATTCATCCACGCCGGTCTTCTTCCCCGCTGGCTCATTTTGCAGCTCAGGGGGACTGCCTGCTCCTGCACCATTAAGACTTCCTTCTTGAAGAGCAACCAGCTCCCTTGGACCCCTTTACTCGCTAAGACTGAATGCCAGGGGACTCCCCCTATTAGTCCCTTGAACAATTCAAAGTCCGCCCTCCTGAAGTCCAAGGTAGCAATTTTACTATTCCCCCTCCAGGCTCCACCATGAATCGAGAAGTTTATCATTTCATGATCACTCTGTCCAAGACAGCCTCCAACCTCCACATCTCCCACCAAACCTTCCCTGTTTGTGAACAGCAGGTCTAGTGGGGCAGTTCCTCTCGTGGGCTCTCTGACCAGCTGTATCAGGAAGTTGTCCTCCACGCATTCCAGAAACCTCCTAGACTGCTTCCTCTGTGCTGTGCTGTACTCCCAGCATATGTCAGGGAAGTTAAAGTCCCCCATGAGGACAAGGGCAGGCGACTGTGCAGCTCGTGCCAGCTGCTTATAGAATACCTCGTCTGTTTCTTCATCTTGATTTGGAGGTCTATAACAGACGCCCACCAGGGTGCTGTCTTGTCAGCCCTTCCTCTGATCTTTACCCATAGGGATTCAACATTATCGTCCCCAGTCATAATCTCAGTAGCGCAAAAGCATTCCCTAACATAGAGAGCCACACCGCCACCCCGCCTTCCTTGCCTATCTTTCCTGAAGAGTTTATAGCCATCCATTGCAGCACTCCAATTGTGGGAGCAATCCCACCACGTTTCCGTTATGGCAACTAGGTTGTAGTTTGCCTGCTGCACAATGGCTTCCAACTCTTCTTGTTTGTTGCCCATGCTGCATGCATTAGTGTAGACGCACCTCAGCTGAGCCCCTCACCTCTCACCTAATCCCAATGCCACTTCCCCAGGCTGCTCTCTAGCAGGCCTGGCTTTATCCCCCTCCCCCTTCCTATCTAGTTTAAAGCCCTCTCTACAAGTCCCGCCAGCTCCTGGGCAAGTATCCGTCTCCCTTTTGGAGACAGGCAATTCCCATCAGCAGACCTCAGGCCAGATGCCGAGTAGACCACCCCATGATCAAAGAATCCAAAGTTTTTGCGCTTGCACCAGCCTCTCAGCCATGCATTTACAAGATGGCTTTTCCTGGTCATCTCAGCGCTCGTCCCTGCCACCAAGGGAATACTGGCAAACACTACTTGTATGCCCACTCCATCAACTAACTTCCCCAGTCTCCTAAAATCGCTTTTTATAATCCTCAGGCTTCTAACAGGGATCTCATCACTGCTGGCCTGAACTATCAATAGAGGGTAATAATCAGAGGGGCGGATAAGGCTGGGGAGTTTTCTAGAAATATCCCTGACCCAGGCCGCAGGAAGGCAGCACACCTCCCTACGGGTAGGGTCAGGCCGACATATTGGACCCTCTGTTCCTCTCAGAAGAGAGTCACCTACAACTACCACTCTCTTTTCTTTCTTGGAGGAGGCAGTCTTCAAACGTGGAGCTGACCGCCTCACCTTAGGCCAGCTTGGTGGCAGCGCTCCCACATCATCATCACTCACCACTCCCTCTGGTTTCAGGGCTTCATACCTGTTACAGAGAGGGACCAGGGGAACCGAGGTAGGTCGGGATGGGGGCTGCCTGCAACACCGGGTTGAGACCTGCTGCCATTCCTCCTCTCCTCTCAAGCTGTCTCTCCCTGTTTGACTATGATGAGAGAGAGGGTCCATTACTCCCTCAGTCTGGGAAGCGCAATCTCTGCGCCTTTCTTGCAGAGAGTCACTCCACCAGTCAGTCTCCTGCTCTCACTCTCTGATGGTCCTCAGTCTATCTACCTCCTCCCTAAGCTCCACCACCAGGTTGAGCAGCTCATCCAGCTGCTCACACCGCACACAAGTGGCATCTTCCCATCCTCCCCCAGCAGCAGCAGCAGGCTGAGGCACTCCCGGCAGCCAGAGACCTGAACCACCACATTATTGAGCAGACCCTCTATCTGGGTTGCCACAGTCTTTGTGTGGGAAGCACATTTCCTGGTGAGGACCATGTTTGAAGTGGTGGCGTCAGGGCCTGTCAGCAGGAGAGCCAGTCACCTGAGAAAAAGACAAGAGCACTCACCCATGCTGACACAAGACACAGCCTCCACTGCCACTGCTGCCTTACTGAATGGGCAGTGCAGGCAGCCCTCACACGCTGACTGCCTCCACCCTAGGTGGTCAGAGCAGCTTTCCACACACATTCTGTGTTGTGTACCCCTGGTCTCTTTTTATCCACACAGCAAATGGGTCAAGGTCAGTCTACAGAGATTAAGAGCAGGCAGTGTCAGCTCCGCCCCTGGTGCTGTTGCTGGCTCCAAAAGTCTGAAAAAGAGCTTTTTTGGTCACTTTTCTTTACTCCAGATCCCTTGCCCACCGCAGTTTTACCTGCTTGAAGCAAAAATATCTTTCCACAGGTCAGCAGCCCAATTAGGTTTACCCCTTCTTTGCCAATTATTTTGTTCCCACTGCTGTAACCACCCCCATAAGGCATTTGCCACCAGCCATGAGTCAGCGTAAAGATGAAGCATTGGCCACCTCTCCCTTTCAGCTCTCAGACTCTCTCTCAATTTCACAAGCTCTCTCTCTCTCCAGGATAGTATTGAATAAGGCCTGATAAGCATTAGCCAGGCCCCAAATCATTTGTGCCTTCTCAGATCTGCCCGAGCCACAACATTCCTGCCTCAAACAGCTGTTTAAGCTCTTGGGGTCTTTTAGGTATTCTGGAGTGAAATTCCACGACACTGAAGATTTCCATCTGTCTAGAGTCTCTCCCAGACCTCTCCACACTCCCTGCCATTCCGTATTCTCTGGTTTTGGGGAGAACATCCTCAAAATACAATAAATACAAATACTGAGCGAAATGATGAACAGTAAATTCAGGGAGATTAACAGTGCGATCAGGTGATCATTCAAAAACTGCATAAAGGATTCAAAGGAGAGACTGGGAACCTGCTTAAAAATCCCCAGTCCTGTAAAATTAGCAGCTGTCTCTGGAATTGTATGCCACGTTGTATGAACATACCAGGTACATATTTCTGCCAGTGTTTTCAATCCACTGTATATACCTATAGCTGCACAGAGCAAAGTGGTGAACTGTATGTTTTGAGCATTAAAAAAGAAGAAACAATGGCATGCAGTCCCTTGAAAGGCAGTTTTAGGAGAGAAAGCTTTTTTTTTTTTTTTTTTCCTTTACAGAAGCAAAATAGCAAGGCTCAAAGTTTACAGATATCCCAGAATATTGGCAGTCCTCCTGGAGTTTCAAGGTCACCTTTTCAGAGAGCACCTGTGAAACAGATAAACTCACCCAACGAAGCTCTCTAGGAGCAGAGAGAGATTCGTTCTCAACAGCTAAAAAGCAGCCTTTGCCCACATTCTCCACCGAGAATGTCAGTGGTTTACAGGCAGGGATCTGTGACCAGCAGGGCGGAGGGATCTGCAGATCCATGCCTCCAGAAAAGGGAAACAGGGGACCCCAAAATAATTAAAAACAGCAACGATCTGAGGTGGAACAATCTAATTTACTAAATATGGTATCGGAATGCAAGATAACACACCATAATACAATATAATCAGAATTGAAGCTAATAAATCAAAATCTAATGAGAGAACGTCCAAAAGGTGGACAGGCCTCACCACAACGCTGAGGTGAGATGCGCAGTCCAGTTGAGCAGCAGGGAGATGGGAGGAGAGCTGATGAAGAAGAGCCAATGAAGAAGATGGCATCAGATGACCTTGCCAGGAGCTGTATCTCCTCTGTGACCGCAAAGCCCCCTGGGGAATGTAGTTCTGCTCTTCTGAACAGGTACCCAGAACTTGAGCATTATCAGTTAAACTCTCAGTGCCCCACATGATGTTATGATGTGGAATACCGATAACCAAAAAAAAAAAAAATCACAAAACCACGACACTTATCCGATTAGGAAAAGTTGCTAATGCTTAAGTAGATACACAGTTAGAAATACCCAAATAATTTTTGTCAGGACGGTATCTCTGATAAGAGCAGATTTTATTCGCGATTGCAATGGCTGGCGTCCCACAAGCAGGAGCACCCCTAAGGACTCAGTGACTGCTTTCTGTACCTTGTTTCCCCCCCTTTCCCATCCCTCTCCTCTGTTTCTCCATAAGCTGGGTACTCCAGGTTCAAATCTTATCAAAGTTTACATTTGTTAATCGGTGTGTTATCTGATGTCAGTCAGTAGCCATCCTGTTGTTTTCAAGATGTCTCAGTGTTCTTCTTGTCATATTGATACAGTGATTTTCTTCAAAGTCCTCGTTAAGCAAATAGCATGGGGGGGGTGGACGGGGATGATGCCAGGCCTTCTGATGTCTCTTCCAGTGCTTCCTTGGCCATGCCATGACTTGTTCTCTGGTTTGATCAATCTCATGCAATATATTCTCACAGTGAGTATAATAAAATATACATGCATACATTATACTCTTATTTACTGAGCATGCATTTCTAGGGAAGGTTTATCCAGAGGATAAGTGATGTAAACCATCAGGACACCCCCCCAAGTAAAGTAGAATCATAGAATCATAGAATTACAAGGTTGGAAACGACCTATAAGATCATCCAGTCCAACCGTCTCCTCATCACCATTGCCACCACAAGCACTAAACCATAGCACGCAGCACATCATCCAGACGCCTCTTGAACACTGCCAGGGACGGCAACTCCACCACCTCCCTGGGCAGCCATTCCAGTGCCTGACCACTCTCTGAGAGAAAAAGTTCTTCCTTATGCCCAACCTAAACCTCCTCTGATACAACTTGCGGCCATTGCCCCGTGTCCTGCTCGTTGCCAGGGAGAAGAGGCCAAATCCCTCTTCACCACAACCTCCCTTCAGGAAGTTGTAGAGTGCAGTGAGGTCTCCTCTGAGCCTCCTCTTCTCCAGACTGAACAATCCCAGCTCCCTCAGCCGCTCCTCATAAGACTTGTGCTCCAGACCCCTCACCAGTTTGGTTGCCCTTCTCTGGACACGTTCCAGGGCCTCAATGTCTTTCTTGTAGTGAGGAGTCCAAAACTGAACACAGTACTTGAGGTGCAGCCTCACCAGTGCTGAGTAGAGGGGGATGATCACCTCCCTGCTCCTGCTGGTCACACTGTTTCTAATGCAGGAAAGACTCTCACAAAGAACTATGGAGCAGAGACCATGAAATAAAATATTATCCAATTCTAATGCAGAAAAAACATTTGATTCCTACAAAGATGATTCTGAAATGTTAAAACTAACCATAATACTTCAAGATTTACTTGTTGCTTCTTCATTATTGAACTCCGTATAGTTCCCAACTGCTCTCCTTCAGTCCTGCAGAACGTTGCAGGCACATGCCAAACAATCTCTCCGAAGTTCAGTTGGGTGGTGCTGCTGGCCCAGGCTTGCTCAGCTTCTGGTTGATTTCATAAAATCATAGGATTGCTCAGGTTGGAAAAGACCTTAAAGATCATCAAGTCCAACCACAACCTAACCATATTACCCTAACTCTAACCACCCTCTGCTAAATCATGTCCCTGAGCATCACATCCGAAGCACACTCCCAGTAATGGTGTCTCAACCACCCCCTGGGGAGCCCATTCCAGTGCTTAACAACCCTTTCTGTAAATAAGTGTTTCCTGATATCCAACCTAAACTTACCCTGAAGCAACTTAAGGCCATTTCCCCTCATCCCGTCACCAGTGATAAGGGAGCAACCCGACTCTCGCTGTGAGCACCTTTCAGATATTGGAAGAGAGCAATAAGGTCTCCCCTCAGCCACTCTTCCCCCGACTAAACAGCTCCAGTCCCTTCAGTCTCTCCTCGTAGGACATATTCTCCAAGCCCTTCACAAACCCTGTTGCCCTTTGGGCCTGCTCCAGCACCACAATGTCTCTCCCTGCACAGCTTCACTACATACTTGTAATCATCATAAGTAGCTTGCCCACTCTTCCAGAGACCATTTGTTCTTGAGTTCCAGCCAAAGATCTGCCCCACATTGGGCAGCATTTGCAACATCTGATGCATGGACTCAGATGTGAACGATCCAAGTCCTTTATTACAAGTGCTCACATCACTTATATATCTTCACAACTTTTTTCTTTTTAAAGCTTTCCCACCCACCCTTACAACTGTCCATCTTACCAGTTTCACTCCCAGCTTCAGCTGGAGATTCATTGTTGGTGGTTTGGTTTATCTCCACCATCCAGGTGTCTCTGATCCCTGACCCAGGTATCACTGCATTTTTCACCTTTCTGTCGTTGTCTAGTCAGGAGGGATGACTTCTGTAAATAACAACTTGAGTCTTCACAGTGTCGTTTTCTGGAACATACACTGTGAATTTGTCTTCTACCAAATGCGATTCAGGCCTGTAGTTCATTCAAGATATTAATGGCAGTGGGCAGTCAGGCCCTCCTCAAATTGCTCGGTGACAGAATCTGCAGCTCCCTCAAGGCACAGTTGCACGCCAAATTCCTTCAGGGAGAGCCATAACCAATATCCCGCAGCAAGATGGGAGCTTCAGTTGTTATTTTTCACAGATCCCAGGGTTCCACACTTTCAATCACTTCTCCAATTCATCACTTACTACTGTTTTCAACAAGTCCCCGCCGCAGTTTCCTCAACCAGCTGCTCCATGTCTGGAATGTGTGAATTGCTTTCATGCATTGTAACACACACACACACTGCTGCAGCCAGAAAAGTAACAATTAACAAACATACAAAAACTTAACACAAGCTGCAGATTTGCCACGTCAATAAGAGACTCTTTAAAGGTACCCAACCCTATAGCAGTGCAATCCTGGGGCAGACCTTCCCATCACCTAATCCCTGTCTTAAAGAAGGGAGAGAAAGAAAGTGAGAAGGAAAGAAAAAAAAAAAAAACCACCAACAAAACAAAACCCAAAACAACAACAAGAACCAAACCTCTCAGTGCCTACCCCCAACCCCCTGACATCTCGGCAGTCGGATCCCATCCTCATCACCAGTTATGTTTCAGGGTACGTTTGGATCTGAGAGGCAGGACGTCTCAGGAGCAGAGGCAAGCAAAATGTACACTCAGAGCAGTGCAGAGAGTTATGGATTTTATTCAGCATACACACATGCATCCATTTTAGATAATCCCCATAAGGGAAGCAGAAGCTCCCTAAGCCAGTGCACTCTTACTTACCGACCCTTGAGAGACAGCAAGCTGCCAGAGGAGAGAGCAGGAACACAGTGGCAGTGGATTTGATAGGCAGTGCCAGCAGAGCATCCTCTGCTTCAAAGCGTACTTTTCCTTCCTCCACACCACAGCCTCTCTCCTGCTTTGATTCTCCCCAGGTTTGCAGGGCTTTTTGCACTGCTGTACCTGCATAGCCAGTGCATGATACAGAGCCCAAGTGGAACACCTGTTTGCAAAAAAAAAAAAAAAAAATAATAATAATAATAATAAAAAAATGAACTATCAAGGTCAGCTTCCTCTACAAATCTACAGCCACAAATACCAGCTCCCTTAAAACTGTCAGAATGCTTTGTTCCATCCCAGGATCATTCTTCAGTCAGGGGCGTTTAGATTTCCAACACAACCTTTCTGGTCACCTGGGGAACACAGGTGCAAACAATCTGCCTGTGCTCCCTAGGGCAGCCACAGCCCTTCACCAGGTGCTCAGTCACCATTTTAAGCTCTGACCTAACAGCTCCCCTGCAGTGGGGTCAGTCAGAGACATTGGGTGGGATGCAAGTAGTGCCTTTGCAATACTAATGGGTGCAGTTATATTGTCTGATGTGCTCTTAATTGTTCAGATGGTGCAGATTTGGTTTTGGAAACTGAGCATGTCCAAAACTAAAATCATGCTGTAAATAGCCACAAATGTTGATTTAGGAAGATAAGAAATGGCTGAAAATAAATTTTAATTGATCCTGCATATAATCAGTGGATATCAAGATGTTACAATATAATCAAGAGAGTTAGGCAAAGTGGACAATGACAAAAGAGAACAAAATGGGAGGCTTACCCTTCAGCTGGGCTCACCACAAAACACCAATAGAGGTGATCTCCAGAAGAGATCCTTCCCCTCTGGTAGCCAGCTCTTCAATAGGTCTTCTTCATTCACAGAAGCAGCAGAATTGCCTTCACCTGTGCACCTCTGGCTGGCTCATGGCTCACCTCAGGTGATCAATCAGAGGTTCAGGCCGTGACTCAGTAGTTCCCATACACTCCACCCCTTCACAGTGTGAACCAATGATCAGGTTAACTAAAGGGTAAGCTTTCCCTAATACAGAGATACAGTATATCACAACGCTTATACAATTTTATCGCGACGTGTTGGTACAATTCAAGACGAGTGATGACCAGTGCATGTCCATATTCTTCTACGGGCCAGTGCTCGATGATGTGACTGGAGGCACGAGGTCCTGAGGTGCAGGTCCGTTCCATGTTCCATCAGTCCCATGCAGACCATCACCAGGTGTTGTACGTGATCTGACAGCAACACTGGAACGCTTGATGGCATTTTGTTCCTTCCGGTGGTCCTGAAGGCTCACAGGGAGTAATACAGATGTTTCACAGGTACCAGGAGGGGAAGGTGTGCTCTCCAGGGCAAGGTACAGGCCGTATTTCTATCCTGGGTCAACACTTCCGCTTGTACTGGGGCACGTCCTGGCCGCCTGTACCACACCTTTTGGCCGGATGTCTGCGGCTGCATAACGATATCAGGCACCAAGGGAGGTGTCCTGATCTGCCACAGGGACACGATGGGGGTCCCTTTAGCAATAAAGATCAGAGTGTTGACCACAATATCAGTAGGCCATGTACCTATTACTGGAGGGACTACTGAGCCTCCCACCTCCAATAGTCTCCCCCAAGGTGCAAGTAGGCCACACCACTTGGGTCCTACCTGCACCTTCCAAGGCCATTTTATTTTATGGGTACCCGGCTCTAAATTCTCAGAGGCAGGGAGCAGAAGATTATTTTCGTTACCAATCTGGGGTCTTATGTGATGATCAGTGCCCGTAATTTGGATCCTAAGCGGGGTGGCCCATGTCGTCTGCAACATTCTCAGGGCACTGGGTCTGCCATCTCGAGGTCTTTCATTCAGGTCCCGCAGGGTTTCATACAGTCTTTTCATCCACCCCTGCAAGGACTGGGAGTCTGTCTTCAGGGCAGCCTTAAGAATACCGTTATAACGTTCGATGAGGCCTGCCCCCGTTGGATTATACAGCAGGTGGAATCGCCATTCGATGTTATTTTCTCCTGCCTGGCTCGCCAAGCGTATAATCAATGGATATCAAGATGTTACAGTATAATCAAGAGAGTTAGGCAAAGTGGACAATGATAACAAAAGAGAACAAAATGGGAGGCTTACCCTTTGGCTGGGCTCACCGCAAAACACCAATAGAGGCGATCTCCAGAAGAGATCCTTCCCCTCTGGTAGCCAGCTCTTCAATAGGTCTAGGAGGGGTGCAGCCTGGCTCCACCCCTTCCGGCAGCACAGGTGAATTGCCTTCAGCTGTGCTCCTCTGGCTGACTCACGGCTCGCCTCAGGTGATCCATCAGAGGTTCAGGCCGTGACTCAGTAGTTCCCATACATCCTGTAACACAGGGAAAGAAATAGGGAACTGACATGAGAGACATGAACTGTTGTAGAATACATCCAGAGTGTAACCCATATGTATGCGAGTTGTGCTCCTTGTTGTTATGGAGCCTCCATACTTGGAAACATTCAGAAGCTGTCTGGACATGGTCCTGGACAACTGGCCCTGCTTTACCAGGGCTGTTGAGTGGGATGACCTCTAGAGGACCCTTCCAACCTCAACCATTCTGTGGTTCAATGTATGAAAGTGACAGGAACTTTTGAATGATGTACAAGGCAAACTGTATGCAAGGTTGTTCTGTCTGGAGAAGAGGAGGCTCTGGGGACACCTCATTACAACCTTTCAGTGTCTGAAAGGGGCTTTTAGGACAGACAGATCCCAGTTGTAATAAGTAGGAGTGCAGCTGCTGTATGTGCTGCCTCACCTGTAGCAGGAGAGTGGGAGGATGACGTAGTGCTATTAGTTATGACAGTGGTCTTTATCCTTCTGTGAATGCTTTGCTTGTTTCAAAAGGAAAGAATGTGCTTACATACCTAGCTGAACATCTCACACATGCTGCTGTGCTGACAGTCGTGGTGGTTCCCAGCCAGAAGGGAATGAGCTGATGAGCCTCCAGAGTGGTCTGTGTGTCCTTGGAGAAGGTCAGTCAGACCAGGGGGTGGCTGTGAGCAAGAAGTCCCGCTGGAGCACACGGCCCTGTGCAGCCAAGGCTTCAAGGCAGCCTGCAGCAGAGCTGTAGGAAAGAGGCATCTCTACTGAGGCTCTCTGGTATGAAAGCTACCAAGAAGAAATAATAGAATCATTTGAGTTGAACCTTAAAGGCCATCTAGTCCAACTCTCCTGCAATGAACTGGAACACCTACAGATAGATAAGGTTGCTCAGAGACCTGCCCAGCCTGACCTTCAATGTCTCTAGGGGCAAGGATTGAACCACCTCTCTGAGCAGCCTGTTCCAGTGCCACACCACTCTGATAGTAAAAAGCTTATATCCAATCTCGATCTTCCCTCCTGTAGTTTGAAACCATTTCCCTTTGTCCTATCGCAACAGACCCTGCTGAAGGGTCCATTTGCTGCTTTATTCTACCTCCCTTTAGTTACTGAAAGGCTGCTCTCAGGTCTCCCAAGAGCCTTCTTCAGGCTGAACAGCCCCAGCTCTCAACCTGTCCTCATCGGAGAGGTGTTTCATTCCTTGGATCATTTCTGTGGCTCTCCTCTGGACACACTCCAACAGGTCCATGTCTCTCCTGTACTGAAGACTCCATATCTGGATGCAGTACTCTGGGTGAGGCCTCAGCAGCACAAAGGGGCAGGGTCACCTCCCTCACCCTGCTAGCCACACTTCTTTTGATGTGGCCCAGGACACAGCGCACTTTGTGCGCTGTGAGGGCTGCAATTTGTGCTTGGTCTGAGCTGTCTAATAATCGGATGAGGTTAACCCAAGGGGAAAACAAGGTGAGGTGGGATGTGGGGAGCCAGGCTGCCTACAGCAGTGTCCCTGTCTGTAGCACTGTGTAAAGCTGATGTTTCATCAGTGGTGGTGTCAGAAAAAACGCAAGTATGCCTGTAGCAAAGCTGGGACAGATGGGGAGTGTATAATCAACGGACATTAAGATGTTATAATCACAAAAAAGAACAAGAGAGTTAGGCAAAGTAGACTAAGATAACAAGAGAATAAATGGAGAGCTTGCCTGTATGCTAGGCTCACCTATAGAAAGCACCAGAAGGAGGGATCTCCAGATGAGATCCTTCCCACTGGTAGCCAGCTCTTCAATAGGTCTAGGAGGGGTGCAGCCAGGCTCCACCCCTTCCAGCAGCACAGCTGAATTGCCTTCACCAGTGCTCCTCTGGCTGACTCACGGCTCGCCTCAGGTGATCCATCAGAGGTTCAGGCCGTGACTCAGCAGTTCCCATACAGGGAGGAGGTTGGGTGCAGGTTGTTTGAGTGTGGGAGCAGCAATGTGAGAGTGGCAAAAAGGACCTGAATGCTGAAGAATGAAGGATGAGATCTGGGACCCACCAGAGACGAACAGAGGACAGGTCTGCTAGCAGCAGGAGTGCCAACACCTACAGCTGGTAGTAGTGCTGACCTATGCACAAGCACAGGGTCACTGGAGGACATCTGGAGCCACTGACAAGGCTCCCCATTGGGTTGGGGTGGGGGAATATGCCTGTCCTTCAGCATGAACGCAGCTGCAGCTTGGTGTAGTGGTGCACCCCCAGACCACTGCGATCTCAGCAAAGGCCACCACTGTGCTTTCACCTTTGTTCAAGTGCAGAGTTGGGCTCCTGATCATTGTCTGATCTGAGAGGTGTGAGAACTGTACAGCAGCAGGCTGTGGTCCTCGACCTTCCCCTGAGCTGGGACACCGCTCTGAGTGCACTTCTTATGACTTGCTGCTGACTGACATCAAAGAAGAGGAGCCCTTTTGAGACAGATGGCCTCATCTGCTGAGAGCTGATGAATGAGGAGCAGGTAATTCACCAGGAGAAAGGTCCTTGTGTGCACAACTGACTTTAGAACTGGATACCCTTCAAGTCAACCTCACCATTCTCAAATCTTCAACTAGACATCTGTATTTGATTATAGCATGTGCTATTGAATCTTTGTGTCAAGTTGGCTAATAATTAAATGCTGATTAAGCGCTACTAATAATCAAATAATCTTGTGATTTATCTTAAAGGTATTATCAGTTCATAAATTGCTGCTAAATCAGAGTTCTGTAAAAACCTATTCCCAGCAGTTGCTGCTGGAGGTTTGTGTGATTGCATGGATCCAAGATCTGCTCGTAACTTCCTGTGCATAGCGCTCTGTGTAATTATGTCGCCGAGTCACTGGTGTGTTACTTAAGATTATTGATTACTTTTCTGTTTTCCCACTTTCCTTGTAGTGTGTTCATCAGCCAATAAACAGTTGTGTTCATCAGCCAATAAACAGTTTGCCTCAAGTACATTTTGAGTAATTGCTCCAACAAGGGAGAGCCAAAGCTTGGCACAGTCGCAAGCTGTGCGTGTGGCCCATGCTGCAGAAGTGCTGGGTGCCACAAGCCTTCCTCCAGTGTATCTGGGTGTCCCAGGGAGCACGTGTGGGGCAGTGAGGCCTGGATACACATATCCAGCAGTGCTGTGCTGAGTGCACCTGTGTGTGGAAATCCCTCAGTGTAGAGCAGTGAGGCTGAAATTCCGCAGACAGAGAAACCATCCAGGCTGCAGACGGAGCACTGGAACAGGCTGCCCACGGGGGTTGTGGAGTCTCCTTCTCTGGAGATACTCAAGACCTGCCTGGACACACTACTTGTGTGACCTGCTGTAGGGAACCTGCTTTGGCAGGGGGGCTGGACTCCATGATCTCTGGAGGTCCCTTCCAAGCCCTACGATTCTGTGATTCCCGCGGGTCCCATTCTGTCTCAGGTCAGAGAGGCACTGGAAGCCTGGCAGGCTGGGCACAGCACGTGTGATTTTTGGTGAGAAAGAGTCTCCAGCTCCCTTCAGAGAACAGCAGTCCC